GATCTCAATGCAAATTTATAGACATTTTTTATTATAAGATGGCCCATTGTTTTTGCCAACAGCGTTTTTGTTTATTTGGACTCAGTGAGGGTGGAGCAGAGAGCCTTCTTTGTACTAAGCTTTGTGGCTGAGAAGAGGGGATTTAGTCAGCCACCATTAGAGGGAAAACATACGTCCAGCATATGTAGAAACCAGTTTGTTTTCTTTTTGGCTGATTTGCTGTCACTTATCCACAGAAAACCACCTTGCTGTCTTTCTTTAGGGCTGTATTGTGATGTACTCTGCTGGTCTCTTCACTCTGAAGGCCGCACCTCCAGAGAATTGTCCTGTAATAAGTGGAGATTGGCTGTTTCTTTAAAAAGCCTGAATGTCTAGGGGCCCTGGGCCAGGAGGAAGGAGACGGGAGCAGGGCTCAGGGTGAAGGAAGCTGCTGCCAGGTGACTGCACCTCCGTTGCTGCTGTTCAGCGTCTCAGTCGTGTCTGACTCTTTACGACCCCATGAACCGCAGCACGCCAGGCTTCCCTGTCCTTCACCATCTCCTGGAGTTTGTTCACATTTGTGTCACTGACGCTATCCAACCTTCTCATCCTCTGCTGCCCTGCTGCTGCTGCTGCTGCGTCGCTTCAGTCGTGTCCGACTCTGTGCGACCCCGTAGATGGCAGCCCAGCAGGCTCCCCCGTCCCTGGGATTCTCCAGGCAAGAACACTGGAGTGGGTTGCCATTTCCTTCTCCAATGCATGGAAGTAAAAAACGAAAGTGAAGTCGCTCCTTCTCCTTTTGCCTTCAGTGTTTCCCAGCATTGGGGTCTTCTCCAGTGAGCTGGCTGTTTGCATCAGGTGGCCAGAGTGTTGGAGCTCCAGCACTCTGGACATCCTGTTCAGTGCAGTTCAGTCACTCAGTCGTGTCCAGCTCTTTGAGACTCCATGGACTGCAGTACACCGGACCTCCCTGTTCATCACCAACTCCTGGAGTTTACTCAAACTCATGTCCGTTGAGTCGGTGATGCCATCCAACCATCTCATTCTCTGTGATCCCCTGTTCCTCTCGCCTTCAGTCTTTCCCAGCATCAGGGTCTTTTCAAATGAGTCAGCTCTTTGCGTCAGGTGGCCAAAGGATTGGAGTTTCAGCTTTAGCATCAGTCCTTCCAATGAACACCCAGGACTGATCTCCTTTAGGATGGACTGATTGGATCTCCTTGCAGTCCAAGGGACTCTCAAGAGTCTTCTCCAACACAGCAGTTCAAAAGCATCAATTCTTTGGTGCTGTATGAAGTGGACATCCTGTATGAAGGCTTTATTTTCAAAAACAAGGAGAGGCCATTAAGAGATTTGTCATGAGACCTGTGAGACGGTGACGCATGTCCTCATCACAGGCACGTGCTCCTATGACGGCAGGAACCAGAGGGCCTTGTTGTCTTCTGTTCCTGTCGAGGCTGTGCCACACTCCGAGGAGCCTGGGAACTGGCTGTGAAAAGGGACAGGACCTGATCTCACCCTGCAGGTCCCCACTCCTACATACGCCTTCCCTTTTGGTAAAACTGCCTGCCTTGCAGTGCTCCAGCTTCAAGGGGAGGATTACTCAAAACCTTACTTAACCTAGTTACGTGTGTTTGGCTTTGTAGTAAAATGACATGTAATTTATACCCCAGTGATTTTACTTATCTATTGATGTATTCTTGCTCTGGACACTGCATCCTTTTGGGTCAGAACTGAGAAGATAGAAATGGGAAAGCTTCTTCTAAATAGCTTCTGATGGTGTGTTTGGGACCAATCAGTCTATTTTCAGCCTGGTGACCTCTGTTCTGGTTACTCTGGTTTATCTTGAATAAAATACCTGAGCACACTTTTGACTGATGGTCTGAGCAGGGATCATAATATTTGAAACTTGAACCATCTGAAAACTATGAAATGCAAAGTCACTATTTTAATACATGATTTGGAAATTCATGTAGCGAACCCTAGAACTGATGGCAGGATGGAAAGGAAGTTTTCTCATTTTCACATTAGCAGACTTTTGGTTCTTTTCCTAAATGACACTGCAAACATCCTGCCAGTTCTTCCGGATTGGGAGTGAACTTGAATTGCGAGAGATTTCCAAGGCCCTCCGAGCTCTCAGCTCAAATCTTCTGTTTTCACGAGGCCTTTCTGCTCCCCAGGATGGCAAAATTAATCCACGTGTGAGGAGCACTTGGCCAACAATCTTGAGTCTGGCAGGAGAAATGCCAGTCTGTTTGCACCTGGGATGTAGCTCTGGGCCCTGTATCTCTGGGCCAGACACACAGTCCTGCAGGCTTCAGCAAGCAGTAGTCACTCACTTTGTGCTGACGTCCAGGGCCGGCTTGCTCTGGGTGGATGGACCCAGAAGTGGAACTGCTCGGACTCCGCAGTGCCATCTGTGTCACTACTGAGCTTCCAGTAGTGGCAGCGTTTCACTTCAGTGCCCGTGACAAGCCCCAGCCCCTTGGAGGGACGAAACCACCTGTTTACTTTCATCTCCTGCTCAGTCCTGGGGATGGTATGCTTTGGGATGCATCCTGTGCTTCCGAGAAATCCACTGATCTTGGGTCACCTTTTAGTTGTGCCAAGAGGTGACCAGAATTCTACCCAAGCCCTGGATTGTAGTTACAGTTGACATACCACGTGTGTTGCTATTTTTCTCCAATGTATTCTTGACATCAGGGCTTCCCTGATAGTTCAGTTGGTAAAGAATCCGTCTGCAATGCAGGAGACCTGATTCAAATCCTGGCTTGGGAAGATCCACTGGAGAAGTGATAGGCTATCCACTCCAAAATTCTTGGGCTTCCCTTGTTGCTCAGCTGGTAAAGAATCTGCCTGTAATGTGTGGAGACCTGGGTTCAATCCCTGGGTTGGGAAGATCCCCTGGAGAAGGGAAATGCTACCCACTTCAGTATTCTGGCTTAGAGAATTCCATGGATCTTATAGTCCATGGGGTTGCAAAGAGTCAGACACAACTGAGTGACTTTCAAAAAAAAAGTAATTCTTGATATGAGGCTTTTTTCTCATGACACTATTTGCTGACAATGTAACAGGCTTCTTTAAGTATATTTTAGAGCAGCTTTGAAACATGTATGTTCAAACATGTTAATAGTCCCTTATTTCCTATCTAGTGGATTGAACCATATGCCAGAACATGAACCCATCTATGACTCCCCTTTTGCCAAAATATTATGATACATAAACATATAAGCATAGATATATAAGCACAGATATAATCTTTGTGAATATGCAAGACAAGAGGTACAGAATGCCTGGCACCTGTGTACACACAAACACAGTCATATATGTACACATTTATATGTACATAGAGAGAGTACCTATTAGATGCCAGGCATTCTGCTCCTCTTGTCTTGAATTCTCACAGTGATCCTATGAGACAGGAATGATTGTCACCATATTCTAGAGGTGTCAACTGAAACTGGGAGAAGTTAAAAGTCATGTGTCAAGGAGAATCTTGCTGTTAAGTGATGGTGTCTAGACACATGCCAAGCCCTGTGGATTCCAGAGCCCACATCTGTTCACTGCATCGTGTCTTCCCAGATGCCCTGTGGACAGTGGACAAGGGTCTTCTCTCATTCATGGGCATCCAGGAGCTCTTAGCTCTTCCTGCCCTGGCCTGTCACAGAAGCATCTGTTGACTGTGTCCTGGCTTCCCACATGGCATCTGGACAGAGGTACAGGCCATGTGAAGTCAGCCCAGGCCATGCCTTGGCCTGCAAATCTGTCAGCAACGACGCCTTCTCTTACTGTCACCTGATGAGCTTATAGCAATAGGAACAGTCTTTAACTAGATGTGTGTTTTCTGTGTGGACAAAATTAGTGCTTCTTAAGCTAGGTTTGATAAAAGACCAGTTTTTTTCCTTTCCAGTCAGTAGTCAGGAAGGGACGTGAGAGCTGGACTGTAAAGAAGGCTGAGCACTGAAGAACTGATGCTTTTGAACTGTGGTGCTGGAGAAGCCTCTTGAGAGTCCTTTGGACAACAAGGAGTCAGACTAGTCAATCCTAAAGGAAATCAACTCTGAATATTCATTGGAAGAACTGATGCTGAAGCTGAAGCTCCAATACTTTGATCATCTTATGCGAAGAGCCAAGTCATTGGAAAAGACCCTGATGCTGGGAAAGACTGAGGGCAGGAGGAGAAGGGGATGACAGAGGATGAGATGGTTGGATGAAATCACTGAATTGAAAAGAAAAAAAAGAAAAGAAATCACTGAATCGATGCACATGGATTTGAGCAAACTCTGGGAGATAGTGAAGGACAGGGAAGCCTGGCGTGCTGCAATCCATGGGGTCGCAGAATTGGACATAACTTAGAGACTGAACAGGGAACAACAGCAAAGGACTAACGCTTTAAAAAATATATAATAAGAATGTCATGGGGATCTCTATAAAAGTTTCCAAATGCTTGCTCTCAAATTCTGTAGTTCTCTCATTGTGGGCTGGTGGAATAAACAGTTCATGGTCCAACACTGGTCTGTGGGAGCATCTCAAATAGGACTCCACCATATAATTTAGAGGTGGCTTAGGCTTCAGAAGAAATGTACACTTTCTATAAGCCACAATTTTAAAAAAAAAATCACTTTAGAGTAATAAGAGAGTGTCTCTGTTTAACATTCTAACTTATAATATTGTGTCTGCAACTTTTTTTAAGTTGTATAAGTAACTTAGACTTGAAACAAAAGCTCAAATAGAATGAAAATATCCAAACTAAAATATGTGCCCTCCAAGCTACTATTATCAATCCCTAAATTGGGTGTCCATCTCACATTCAAGATGGAAGGGTGTGGATCAAGATTTATAAAGAAGGAAGGGATGGGAGAGGCGTTTTCAAAGTTTACCCAATTTTTTACTCCATCTTGATTTTTATTTCAAGGGGAAAGTGTGACTTCTCAGAATGTGTTATTAATCTGTAGAGTTTCAAGTCGCATGGCAGCTGTTTTTGGTTTCTAGTGTTTTCTAACCCCAGTTCTCTCTTGTTGCAGAGCCAGATCACACTAATGGACATACCCGTGTTTAAAGCCATCCAGCCGGAGGTCTGTACCTTGCCCTTTATTCTGTACTAGCAACGCTCGGGCCGGGGAGGGAGGATTTTGTCCCATTAGAGGAACTAAGTTTCCCGGTTTCTCTCTTGAAGTCTCTATAAACGCATATTATCGATTTTAGCTCCCATCAAAGAGAGCATCCAGGAATTCCACTCTCGAAGGGGCTCATCCTCTGAGCCTGCTGTTTGGATTTTTCCAGAGGATGGGACCACATTTGGCCCTCTCCAGCAGGGCTGGGGGCAGTCAGTGCCCACGGCTGGCCTCCGCACCTGAATCTAAGGCCTGGCCTTCTCCTGGACCACCCCTGCTGGAGACGCTCACTGTTTGAGACAGAGATGGGAGGGAACATTTCCAGGAGAGCTTTCTTTCTGTTGATCCCAAATTCTGGTGGTTGCCTTGTTTCTGATTTTGAAGCCAGTTGCTGCAGCAAAAATGTATACATATTTATGTTAAAAGCGTACATATATTTTTAGAAACAGCATATTCAATGAAGAGGAAAAAAAGTTGATTTTAGTCTTTGGAGAAATTCCTGGAAATGACTAGCAGTTGGTAACGTGGCTTTACAGTTATTTTAGTCCCGCTTCTGGTTTTGTTATCAAGTGATAGAAATTCATTTCAAGTAGCTGAATAGGCAGAGGAAGAATTTACGAGCGTAAAGGGGGCACTTTCTGCACCTGTGGGCCTGGAGTTCAGGCAGCCTACATAGCCGAGCAGGACGCAAGCGCTGTCCCTGCTCTCTGCCTCGCCTCTGCCTTCCCCTCTCCCCTCTCTCCTGCCCTGTTCTGCCCCTGTGGTCCAACCTGGCCTCCCCGAAGGGCCCACATTTGCGCGATGTCTGTGGGAGCCACCTTCTAGATCGAGACCAGCCAGTCTCGGTCCAGCCCCGCTGAGTCCTATGTCCAGAGCTGGTTCAGTGACTCAGCTCAGGAGTTTGTGGCCAGGACGAGCACGCACAGCTGAGCGGACCCAGCTTTGTGAGTGGGGTGCAGATTTCAGAGAAGAGGGGTGTGGGTGGGGAGACAGGTCAAAACCATGGTATGGATTCCAGAACACTCTTTTTAATTATTTATTTATTTACTTACTTGTTTTTGGCCAGGTCAGGTCTTTGCTGCGGCACACGGGCTCTTCGCTGTGGCACACGGGCGTCTCTAGTTGCGGTGTGCAGGCTCAGTAGTTGTGGCGGTTGGGCTTAGTTCCCTCGTGGCACATGGGGGTCTTGGTTCCCCAACTAGGTATCGAACCTGCATCCCCTGCATTGGAAGGTGAAGTCTTATCCACTGGGCCACCAGGGAAGTCCCCAAAACACTCTTAACATGATGCCCTTCTTCTGACAGTGTGGTAGTTGTTAAGACTTTGAGAAAAGCAGCGTATTTTAATACAAAGCCAGACAAAGGATCCAGGCCTTCCTAGAGCTGGCATCTAACCCACTATAAATCAAGGGGAAAGCCGTATTGCTAGCCGTGCTCAGCACTTGTGTGAGGACGTGGCAGTGATTTGTATTTGTGTGTGTGTGTGTGTGTTTTATTCATTAAGTTTGGTGGGGGGTGCAGAACTATGTTTGCTTTTTTGAACTGGCTGACTTAAGTCTTTCTCTATTTTCTTCTAATGTGGGGATTACACACTCTTTCTAATTAAAACAAAAACCAACACCCACTCAGCGCACTGCACCCTGGAGCCTGTTGGGGGAGCAGTTGTGTGACAGTTGCCTCTGCTGAATTATTAGCTCTCTGCTCACGTTCTCTGCTTCTGCTTGACCTGGAGCTGTGTAGACATTCGGAGCTTTATTCTCTGCCCTGAACATCGAGGAAGGCTGCCCAGTCTGCGGTGAGCCTGGGGACACAGGCGTGGCTGCTCGGGCTGATTGTGGGGGTGGAGGTGCTCTCCAGAGGCACGGGAGGAGCGGACGGACACTTTCCCCAGGGCGCTGCAGTTCAGAAGGCGCCTCATCCAGGACACATCTCATGTCAAGTGGTGACAAGACATTAAGGTGGAGATGTTTTGCTTTCAAGACACGCTTGGAGCTGTGGTTCTCAAGCACGGCCGTGTATCAGAATCACCTGGGCAGCCTTGGAAACACTGGGTGCCCCAACTCCACCCTAGACCGTGGAATCTGAGCCTCTGGGTTAGAGTCCAGAACACAGTCAGCCCTGTTTTGTAGAAGCTTACCAGTTGATTCTGCTGCCGAGTGAGGATTAAGAATGATCTGCCGTGAGGTATCTGGAGAAACTCCAAACTTCTCCGTTTTAAATCTGTGATATGTTAGCTAAAAATGGAAGAGTTTGTTCCTCAATGTCATTGTCAAAACCGTGGTTAAAAGGAGGCACCCTGGGAGCTGTCCCAGCTTCTCTGTTCTTGTTATTGTTGTCAGCAGACTGAAAACTGGAACCTTTCCCCTTGATGATGTCTGCCACGTTACGGCTGGACCACCCCAGAGTCGGAAGCATATGAATAAGGGACACGTGTCAGTTTGATGTAGACAGGACTTTGCAGGAAGCAGAGGCTGGCACCTGATAGTGAGATGGGCACCCTGAGTGATCTAGATTCGCAGAAGATCAGGAAACCTATGCCTTGCAATCCTGGCTGTGCTTCAGAATCAGTTGAGAGCTCCATAAAAAAAAAAAAAAATCCAGATGCCCAGGCTTTGTGCCTGGAGATTCTGGTTCCATAGGCTGCAAGTGGGGCTGGGAATTCCTTTCAGTCAGTTGTAGTCATTGTTCTTTTTGATGCATAAATTGTTATTCCATCACTAAGTTGTGTCTGACTCTCTGTGACCCTATGAACCGCTGCTCACAAGGCTCCCCTGTTCTCCACAACCTCCCAGAGTTTGCTCACATTCATGTCCATTGAGTCGGTGATGCTCTCTAACCATCTCTCTTCTCCTTTTGCCTTCAATCTTTCCCAGTGTCAGGGTCTTTTCCAGTGAGTCGGCTCTTCACATCAGGTGGCCAAAATATCCTGTATAAAGTATAATGTGTAAATTATCTTGTCTTTAACCAATGGGAGCCCTTTCATGTCATGTCCTATATCCTTTTAACATGATCCATTATTTTTTGAGAAATTCCCCTTGCTCTTTGATACAAGCTAAACTAGTTTCCTGCTGAAGACCTGGAGTCAGGCAGTCCCTCTGGGGTCCTGGTTTCTTTTAGTGGAGAGCAGTGTTTAGAAACCACAACCTGGGGGAGAGGATTTTCATTGCTATTGGATTGCCGATACTTTTAGGCCTTTTAGGTGGATGGGGCTAGGAGATATTTATTTTTTAAAACTAAAAGTCATGAGTTCCCGACTGGATGATTGGATGGACGATGTTATTCCCTCCTCATCCTTATCATGGCTTCCGTGCCGGTGGTATATATTTTCCCACCCCTAGACTTTGGGCGACCCCGGTGACTTGGGCCCAAGTGATGGGATGCGAGTGGTGAGCTGAGCTGCTGAGAGTCAGGAAGCTTCACGAGTCCATTCTCTCTGAGGGACCCGTTGCCCTTGTGGTTTTAGTCTGAGTCCCTAAATGAAGACATTGATGGTGATACGACCCCGACCCAAAGCCTGAATTCCAGCGTAACTTGTTGCAGCCTGGTGGTTCCAGCAGAGATCAGCTGAACTGCAGTCACTCTAATGACCTGCTTGTCACCGTGAGCCTCTGAGATTTCAGGATTGTTCCTTATGCCACTTTATCGGATGGAAGCACAATCAGTACAGTGTTGGTCTTTCCAGTTCAAATCTGGCCTTCCGGGATTGTTAACTTAATTCCTTTGATTTTTTTGTATGTTTTCTTTTACCCTGCCAATTTTGGTTCCTAACAACATTAAACAATTATTTTTTTTGTATTATCTCATCTCTCTGTCTCACACACATACACATATGATAGTTTTAAAATAATAATAATATCAGTATTACTGTTATTATTTAGCAGACTGCTACAGTTGAGCATTTAATTATGATTCTATTTGTCTTTAGTTCCTTTTCTTCTTGTCTTCTCTTCCTCCTACTACTTACATACCCGGGTGGGTCTCCTTCCTTGGCCTGCCTGCAAAGGTCTTTGAACACACCAGGACAGAGAGTTTCACTTGGTTCTGGAGGGTTGCATCCTGAGAGACCCTGATGTAATCCCCACGCATGGAACGTAGTATCTACACAATAAATATGTGCTGAGTGAGTGGAGCATGAATGAATGAAGGAGAGAGGCACCATGGCGGAACAGTATCTGGCCGAATGCAGGCACATTGCCAAGGAGGGCATACCAAGGAGGGGAGGTGATTACCAGGGTGCCTGTTCTGTGGTGTAACCACTTCCCCCAAAGCTAGGGTTTTGCCTGGTGAGCACAGTCTTTGAAGATTCACATTTCCAAATGCTGTTGATAACTGAGGGTAGAACTGCGGCTTTGCTCATTTCTGCCAGCGGGGCCGCAAGAGCATCGGCCCAGGGCTCAGAGGAGGCCAGGCAGGCCGTGAGTTAAGGATTGGCAGAGAGCAAGGAAAATGGAGTTTAGCAAATATGGAGTCATAACTATTCCCTGGTGACTCCGGCAAGTAGCCAATTTTATCAAAATCTGGCGGATTAATGCAGATACAGCTTTGCAGCATAATGGCTCTCAGCCACGTTTACCTGGCTAGCTGTGGCCTAGAACCCCTCCATGCCATGGTGGATTGTGTTGCAGGGATGGGTGGGTTCCTGGCTGCTGCTGCCTAGGAAAAGGGCTGCATGGTGAAGGGGGTCTTTCTGGCGGGGGTCCTGGTGACAGCTGCCTTGGGAGAGGGTACATTTGCAGGGTGGCATTTTTGTCTCCGCCAGCCTTCCCTACAGAATCTGCCTGTCGTTATGCTCACCTCCCAGCCTGTGGAATCGAAGGCCCACCAGTTTCTCAGAGACCAGTTTGGAGGTCGGAACTGTCTGTCATTAGTTTTAACATGAAGCATCAGCGGGAGAACCGCTGTTCTTAGAATGTGCATGCTCTGCTCTGTGCTCGACTCAGCCCAGGTTCTGCCCGAGTCCAG